CTCGCCTCAGTGAAGCGGGCCCTCGTCGCTATTTGTCGCCGCACGCTATCCAAAACACTGGGTCGGATCCTTCGAGATGTAAATTCTAAGATTCGGGGATATGGATTATAGTACGGATACGGGTGCGGGGATCCGGCTAAAAGTAATTCAAAAATATAAAAATATCTCTAAATTATGAGAAATTTTGTGGAATACTTACGTATAGCATGTTAAGTGTGGATTTCTTTTTTATTTTCAAGTTGTAAATAAATAAAAGATTGATTTCCTAGATAAAATATGCTATTTTCTTCGAATTTATCTTAGTTTTGGTTTTGATTTCTGGAATCAAGTTGTATCTCATCTCAATTTTTTTCGTCCGCGGTGGTCAAAGCACCCAAAATTGTTTGACCAGATCCTGTACGGATCCCATACCCACACCCATACTAGTGTCGTGTCGACATGGGTGCGGCACCTAAACTGCCATGTCGGAGCAACTTAGAGTATAAATGCTCCATTATGATGGATAAATGGACGACAAGAACTGGGAAAATGATTATAAATGTGATGGTAAATTCTCCCAAGGGAACTTTGTTTCTTGAGTCAATTGATGCTAGCGACGCGTCCACGGACCACATCAAAATGTTCGCCTTGTTTCAGAACAACATTGAAAAGATTGGCCCAAGCAATGTTGTTCAAGTGGTCACTGATAATGCGAGTGAAAATGCTAAAGCGGGTGGTATGGTGCAATGAGCGTACCCAAATATCTATTGGACTCCATGTGCGGCTCATTGTATCAACTTAATGTTCGGGGACATTTTCAAGGAAAAACCCTTCTCTACAGTTTTTGGCTGAGGCGTTAGGGTACATTCTTATATTGCTCAGCAGCCCTTGTTATTGAATATGATAAGAAGATTCACCAAACAAAAAAATTTGATGAAACCGAGCAAGACAAGGTTCGCCATTGCTTTCTTGACTTTGTATAGTATCCACTTGCAAAAAGCCAATTTGAGAAAGTTGTTCATTTCAGAGGAATGGAACAAAAGTAAATTTGCAAAGGAAGCTGGGGGAAAGAAGCTATACGCATTATTCTTTCTTATTCTTTTTGGAATGATGTCCTTCATGTTCTTAAAATTGGTGGCCCATTGATTAGAGTACTCCGTTTGGTGGATGGGGAGTAAAGACCATCAATGGGCTACCTTAATTAAGTTATGGATAGGGCCAAAGAGGCTATTCAAGCAACATTCAATGATGATCAGAAATATGCAAAGGTCTTTCCGATCATTGATTCAAGATGGACGGAGCAATTTCATCGACCTTTGCATGCAACTAGACTTATTATGAACCCGTCACTCTTTTATGATCAGTATGAGAATAATTCCCTGGCTAACGAAGTGTGGAAGGAATTCCTTGAGTGTGTTATTAAGTTGGCCCAAGATGATGAGCCGGAAGAAAAGATAGTAGATCAGCTTGCTATTTACAAGGCAGCTGAAGGACTTTTTAAGCTGCGACTGGCTATTAAACAAAGAAAGACGAAGTCGCCAAGTGACCAAGTGCTTCTATAGTTTATAGCTCTAACTTTTAATGTATTTTTTTAATACTTATTAACTCTTGAATATTATTTTTTCACTTCTATAGTTGAGTGGTGGGACCAATATGGTGCAGAGACTCCGGATTTACAGACTTTCGCCATCAAAGTTCTAAGTTTAACTTGTAGCTCATCCGAATGTGAAAGGAACTGGAGCGTTTTTGAACACGTGAGAACTAAAAAGAATGATTTCGTGTATTGAGATAAAGTAAATTATATCTCAATTGTCCTAACTCCTACTAATTAGTTGACACATCTTGTTTGAAGATTCATACAAAGAAGAGGAATCGACTAACCTTGAAGCACCTCCATAATCTAGTGTTCATAAAATACAATAGAGCATTGAGGCATCGCTACAACCACCGCAATCTAATTGATCCAATTCTTTTGGACAATATTGATGAGGCTAATGAGTGGCTAACCGAAATCCCCGAAAATTGTGAAGATGAAGAAGTATTTGAAGGCGACTCTAATTTTACTTGGGCCGATGTTGTGGAGGCTAGTGGAGTTGGGGAGAACCCTTATGGTTTAAGGAGGAATACTTCAAGTTTAAGCTCGAATAGGAAGGGAAAAAGTGTGGGTACTACAAGTCGATCCCTAATTGATGAAGATGAAAGTGATCAGGAAGAGGAAGAGGAAGAGGAAGAGGAAGAGGAAGATGACGAGCAATATGAAGATAATAGAGGAATTCAAGATTTTGACAATCTTGAAGAACTAGAAGAGTAGTAGAATACGACGTTGATTCTAGTAATTTAGTGGTTTTGATTTGGCTTATCTAATGCTTTATGGAGGATTTTGTGGTACCTACTTTTAAGTTTTTAAATTGAACTTTTTGATTATTTATATTATCTCTTTGCAAGGTTTACTTTATGTTTTTTAAGAATTGCGCTTCACTTCAATGAAGCGTGCGCTTCGCTTCGCGCTTCGCTTTTGAAGTGAGGCGAGCCCCTGCGGGTTTTTTGCGCTTCTTGCTCTCAAAAACACTGGGAGTTGGGAGGAGATAAGGGGAGTTCCTATGGAGGGGGAGGTGTAGATAGGGGGAAAGTATGAAGGGTAAATGAGAATGCTCAACCATTAACTATCATCGAAAGGGGGTAGAGAATGACTAATTGGATGAGGGGAATAGATTTCTAAAGTTTGAGGAATTGTTGGGTGTTCGATTGAGTAAGTGGAGGACAAAGTCATCGATCTTTTAATTGACATGAATAAGAGTCAAGAAAAGTAAGCAATGTTGGGAAAAGGGATATGAGCGTGAGGGAAAAGAGGTAGGCGGAATCTCATGAAAGAAGAGATAACACTATGGTGCATGGGAGGAGGTGTAAGGGGAAAGAGGGGTAGGATGGAGAGCCGAATGGGCCGATGAGGAGGGGTCGACGGAGAAGTGTTGGGAGTTGTCCACCTCTACAGTGGAATAAGATATTCTGTAGGTGTTTGGGGGGGAGGGGGACCTTCAATAATATTAGGTTCTCAGAGGGAATGATGTGGTGTAAAACAATGTCAAAGGAAATTGAGGAGCTCTTAGAGTTCATTGATAATCATTTTTATTGATTTTCTTTTGATAGGGCTAGTTTCTCATTGTCTAGGGTAGAGGACTGAACATTAAAATCAAGATTAGACAGATTCTTAGTGTTGACCTCTTGGGAGGAAATGGTTACGACTGTGCGAAAGATTCTCTTGCCGAGGGTAATTTCGACCAAGCCGCCTATCAGATTTGAGAACATGTGGCTAGAAAAACGGACTTTGGAGATAGAGCGGGAGGCTAGGGAATGGATATGTAGTCATGGGCAAACCATCATTCCCGGTCGCACAAAATTCAAAATTATTGAAAGGGGGGACATAAAGGTGTGGAATATGGAGGTTTTTGGGAGGGTAGAGATGAAGATGCAAAAGCTTATGAATGAATTAGAGAAGTTGAGAGGGCAAAAAGGGTGAGGGAATTGGAGTAGAGTTAAAAAGTGAAGGAGGATGTGAAGAGAGAGAGAACTACATCAGCAATAGCTCAAGATATAAGTTGGAAATTGTAAACGAAAGATAAAGAAGAAGACTTGGGGAATAATTGGCTCGATTATCTCCTCAAGCATGCTGGGATCTTAATATTGTTTACAAGTTATCCTAAAAAATGAAATGAAAGGAAAGTAATCCGATAAAGGAAGGGTAAGTAAATCCTATTTCTAATTAAACAATTATAAGGATTTTACCATATTTACTAGGAATGGACTATTTCTATATTAACAATTTCCTAATTCTTAATACTCCCCCTCAAGTTGGAGCGTACATATTGTATGCTCCTAACTTGCCTCGAATATATTCAATTTTGGAGCATTGGAGTGACGTTGTAACAATATTGGCCAACTGATACTGGAGAGAAAAAGAAGAAATTTGGGGGAATGAATGACTAGATTTTTTCCTTAAGCATTTCGGAGTTTATATAGTGTTCAGAAACAATTCTAAAAAGGGAAGGATCTTTAGTAATTCCTATTTCTAATTACACAAATATAGGATTATTTTTCCATATTTACCAGCAGTGGGCTCTTTCCATATTAACAATTTCCTAATTCTTAGCAGAGACAAAAATTGAGAGCTTTGTGATTGGAGGAGGGTAACTCAAATAAAAGTTCCTCCATAGGGTAACAATAGCAAATAAGAGGAGAAATTTTATGGTCTATGAAAGTGGATGAGGTGGAATATGAGGGAGAGGAGGTAAGGGGGAATACTGAGATTTTATGAACAATTGAATACCGAAGTTGGGAGGGTCAGTGTTCAATTAAATAGGTGAGCATAAGAGGGAGTGATTGGAGAGGGCAATTGCGGAAGACGAGTTGAGGGAGGCAGTAGAGAGATGTTCAGGTGATAAGACCCGGGACCGAATGGATTCACAATGGCTTTCTTCTAACTGTTTTGAAACACGGTCAAAGGAGAGATTATGGAGATCATTGCTGCATCTCAGGAGACCGGAGAATTTGAAAAAAGTCTCAATGCTTCCTTCATAGCTGTCATACCGAAAAAGGAGGGTGCAACGAACATCTTGGGTTGTGAATTACATGTCAAAAATCTGTCCTGGTCGGTAAGAGGTTGTGAATATGTTACTTTAGCATGTAGTGGCCTAGTATAAAGTGATAAGGAATAAGTCTGATCTTCTATAACATGAACAAGTCTATGGTGCAGTTACTAACACACTGTTGAACAACCTAGGGAATTCATCTCTTTGGTCTATGTCTTTCCTCCTGATCCTGTAAAGTGGTTAATGGTTCACTACTTTTATTTTTTCCTTTTTTTAATAAGCAAAGATAAGGTTCACTAGTTTTTCTAAAAATTTATTGTTTATTCATGGTTCCTTTTCAGTTGCATTTCCACTTGTAGATTACCTTTGGTCCATAGTTATCCTTTATCTACCTTTCTGCAGTTAAAACTGGGGCTCTATTTGATAATACCAATAAAAAAAGTTCTGTTTGATACGATACAATTTTTCTGAATTTAAATTTATAGTGCCAGAAGGATTTAATCTTCTTGGTAGATTTTTGTTTTTCTTGGAGGACACATTTGACTCTTAATGTTGTTGTAGTCAAGTCAGTCACTTTTGGAGTGTGCTATGCTGAACCTGTTTGAGGGAATGTGCTTGAATCAAATGCTTCCTTTTACTTGCGGTGCTATCTTTGTGGCTCCGGTTGCTCACTTATGTGGTTTTAATTAATGAATTTCCTTTTCTTGTCTACAAAAATATTGGGTTTTTTATTTTGTTATTGATTTCTGATGCATGCTTGGACGTAACAAGTCTTGTTCATTTATTCCAAAGAAGTACTAGTTAACTCTTGAGGTTTTGGAATCTCAATCTGTCCATGTGCGTGTATCTTCAGCCAGGGATCCAACTTTTTGTTTATTATTGGTTGGTGTTGGTTGGTTAGCAAAAACTATTCTTTCTTGATTTGGATTTTCAAGTCCATATTAATCCGATCAAGCAACGACCCACCAAATGCTTGATATGTACTCAATAGCAAGAGATATAAGTTTTGCAATAATTTTTTTTTTGAGACCGGTTATCCGTCTTGAACCCTTGACCTAGTAGTTTGGAGAGAACTCGCCAACCACTTTGAACAAGGAAGGTCAGTTGTTTGCACTAAATTCTTAGTGATCAAGCTTTTTAAAACATGACCTAGTTTGATTGTCTCTTTCCCTCTAATTTGCTTTTGAAATAATAATTAGCATCCTGCAAACTGTTTGGTTAACCTTTCTGGAATCCCCCCTAGTTGAAGCCTGTATATTTTTTCTGGCTCTAATATCTTAATCTAGCTTTTGGGTTTTGACTCTAGGAATCTTTGTAAGTGGGAGATTTGAAGAAGCTCTAGTTTTAGAAAATCCCTAATTTTTCGTAAAAGGCAAAATATTTGGTATTGAAATAGAATTTACTTGGATAGAGCGGAATAGATACAGAGGATGCAGATAGCCGGCCCATCTAATGTTAGATTGAGGCGTAGTTGATTGGTTGATAGCTCTTTGAATTGCTACCTATAAGGCCAAGGACTTTCAAGCGAGTTTTATATACTAGCAGCATATCCATATTTAATATTTCCAGTTATATGAATAACTTAAATTGTTACCTTTTGTCAACCTCCCTAATAATGCCATCTCTACTTGATGTATAATTTGAAACTTTTACCTCCAGTACTCACTCCATATCAGTTCTCATTTCCATTCCTCTTAAAAACAAAATAGTAAAAACTGTTTACGATCACTTTTACTGTCATTTCAGCCGCCTGCATTTCCAAAGGAAACACCTGAAACAATAAAAGAATATATTAGGGAGAAGTATCTATTGCCTCAGCTGGATGCAGATGAGTTTTCTCCCGAAAAAGCCGGAAGGCAGTGGGAGTTTGATTGGTTTGAAAGAGCTAAAATCCTTCCAGATCCATCTTTGCCACGATCTGTTGTTGTTCCAACATGGGAAGTGCCTTTTAGACGTCAGAGGGACAGATTGGATAATGGAAGATGGGAGCCAAACTCAGAGGAGGTATTTAGGATTTGCATTTTCATTTTATCAACTTGTTATTGATTTAGTTGCTAGCTCGGTATAAGACAATCACGAGTAAGTCAAAAACACCCCACAACCCAACAAAAAGGAACAAGGAAAAAGTGTTCATGTTTTAACAAGTTCTTTCACTACTTCTGATTTTCCATTTCCTTTCCATACTAAAACTACCGGAGAATTTCAGTGTCTGACAATTTCCTTTTTTTGGTTGCTAATCATGACAATTTTTGGCTAATTTCTGACTTCTCAGAGAGATGTATCTGAACTTACAGTTGGAACTGAGGATTCTGGGGCTCTGCCGCGTATTGTTGGACCACCAAAGGATTTCGTTAGAGGAAGCATCAATAATCGTCCTTTCCGACCTGGTGGCTTGGATGATTCTCCTTCATTGGGCAGAGTTGTTCCTGATGGTGCTACCAATGGTGAATGGGTAAGGGAGGTGCTTAATGGCGGTCCTGCCCAAACCGCTCCTCCAAGCTTTAAGCAAGGGCCTGATCTTGGTGATCTTAAGGTAAGGTGCTTGAGTTTTTTAACCATTGAAGAGCTCTTGATTAAGTTTCTATTCTCTGTATACATGAAGTTCTGAGAGATCTTATTTTATGTTAATGAAGACACATTCCTTCTCATGGAATATATATGAGGATCAGAGTGCTGTCACGAACACAGCGGAGGTGAAACTGGTCAGTATCAGTATGAACTCAAGTTTTCTTATATAAAATACAGACATCTATATTTTGTATTTCCATCCTATCAAGTAAGAACTGTGATAGATCATATGCACCTAGGTCTGCTCGTCAGATTTGCTATGGAATGGGTCAAGTAATTTTGGCCTCATCTTCTTGTTTTCTGATAAGCATCTCTGTCTGGCTATCTGCAGAGTGAGTTATCCGTGCAGTTTGATGACTTGTTTAAGAAAGCTTGGCAAGAGGATGTCACAGAGTTTGTTGGAGATGGTCTGTATTATCTAGACAATTCTTTTGATTGTTTTATGTTTCTTGCGTTTGAAGAGTGATTTCATAATCAAAGATCTCTAGATCAACCTAACCAATTTAGCTAGGACAGGGTTAGTTTGTTTTCTCTGATACATATAGCAAACATGTAATATTTTAGGATAGTGTGGCTTATATACCACGCATTCCTCCTTGAAGCTCATTTTTTCCTTTTCCCCCCCTTTTGTTGGGAAAGCAGTTTCCATACCAGAAAAGTGAAATGTTTATTTAAGACCATCATATAATAAGGTTGTGGAGGTGCCCGTAGAAATATGGGAGTGTATACAGTCCAAATTGTGTCTGCTTGTTGAAATACGGAGTTGTCTCATGATGTGTCCGACTTTATTAAATACCTTAGTTGTGTGACCACTTCATTTAAAAGTTTAAGCTGTTAGATAGGGTACACTTTCATTTATTTATTCAGTTAAATCTGCAATACTTCCTTTCATAACGGGCCTTAGTCTTTGTTTTGGTGGCTGTGAGACTTGAATCTAGGATCTTTGCCTACTTTGATATCATATAAAATTGTGTGACCACTTTATCTAAAACTTATGTTGAGGATACTTTTATTTATTTATTTAGGTGTGCAACAGCAACTGCACACCAGAATTATTGAACCGTTGGAAGTGGTTCATTCAGTCTGATACAAAAATGATATTTAATATTGATATATAATTAAGTAGATAATAGTGTGCTCTCTCCAACAAACTTAAGTTTTTTTTAGATGAGATGGTTACACACTTCAACATGGTATCAGAGCAGGCTGAGGTCCTGGGTTCGATACTCACTGCCACTCATTATCAACAAGAATTTACATGTGCTTGGTCCATGAAAAAGAATTAGGACCGCATGTGAGGGGGCATGTTGATATATATTAAGCAAATAAAAGTGTGCTCTCTCTAACAGGTTAAGCCTTTAGATGAGATATGGTCACACACTTCAACAATTAGTAAGTAGTAACCATGGAAATTAAAGGAGATGTTGAAAGGTGGAGTAACATATGCATAGTTTGATACTTTTTCTAAATTTTATTTTACAAAAGAAGTGATGCTTCTAGTTGAAAATAGGAGAAAGAGGAAGATTAGAGCAATGTTATCAAACCATTGTTTATATTTGAATCATGGGCTACTATGAAATAAGTTAATTATTAGAGAAAGAATTACCTTCTCTATGTGTTCTCAGAGAAGACAAAGATCAAAGTGTTAATGAGGACAAGAACATTTTTTCTTATTCTCTCAATTTGTGTTTCCGTCTCATTTGAGTCATCATCTTGCTTATCCATTTGCAAGAACTCTAGTAAACTTGCATTCGAGTTGCAGCTGCTAGTCTCTCGTGCCCCATCGGATCTGTAACTCTTCATAGCTGTGCTGTTATCCGTTGAGTTTCTGCAAAGTATAAATGTTTAATCTGAAAGATTTTTCTTATCGTGAACGGAAAGCAACTATGGGCGATTTTCTTCATAATGCTCCATCTTGCTGTATTCTTAGTTTTGGGTTGTAGAGAAATGGAAAACAAGCAAATATTTGGCTCTTTTTCGGAACTAATATTATTCCTCTCATATAGGTCATACGTCTGAATTGCAATCTGAAGCAGAACAATTGACATCTGTCACGCTAGAGCCACTTCAGGTTGAAGCTGAAGTAAAGAAGTCCGAAGTGGCTGATGAGGCTTTAGACACTGAGATATCTGTCTTGGATGAGATTTTGTCTGTTGAAGCAGAAGGATCATCTTCAAGATTGGATGAGGATAAAGATGGTGCACGTCAAGAGAATGAGGTAATCCTTCGCACATTTCCTGTTTAACAGAGGAGTTCTCTATATCTTTTTTTTTAATAAGTAAAAGAGGAGTTCTCCATTTTTAACCAGTGCATCTAGTATAGTGATCCTTCTGCTCATGGTTTTCCTCAACGTATCTGGTGCAGGGATGGGCTGTTACTGGTGGCAGTAAAATCATTGTAGAACGATTTCATGAGCTAATTCCAGATATGGCTCTTACTTTCCCATTTGAACTCGACCCCTTTCAAAAGGAGGTATAAATTTATGGTCTATGTACTGTTCTCAGTTCTCGTATGGAACTTGGCCTAAGCCTGCTTTATTTTGATCTCATGTCCTTTGAAATTGTTGGAAAAGTACATGCTTTTGATCATGGGGGCTATGTTTATTTTAGCCAAATGATTTCCATTGGCAAGAATGGCTAAGTGCTATTTTTGAACATAATAGGTTGAGTTCTTTTTGTTTTTTTATTAACTTGAAGCTATTTGTTGTTTTTTTCCCTTTTCATTTCAGGCATATATATGCCTATCAAGCTGTCAAAAAATTGTGGTCCTTCTCATTGTGTTAATTGCAGGCCATCTATCATCTTGAAAAGGGGAACTCTGTCTTTGTTGCTGCTCATACATCTGCTGGGAAGACTGCTGTCGCAGAATATGCATTTGCTTTGGCAGCTAAAGTATGACTTCTCTTGATATCAGGAATTTTATACTGATATCTAAAGTATAAACTTCTTCTATGCTTATGACTAAAATGTCTTGTAGTATTTTACTTCTCCTAGTTATAAGTTCTTTTACAATTTTTTGGGTAAATTCTGTCCAGATTTTCATGTCTTTACTTACTCCCAATTTATGTCTTGTTTAATTGTGTGCTGCAGCACTGTACCAGGGCTGTATATACAGCTCCAATCAAAACAATTAGCAATCAAAAATACAGGGATTTTTGTGGGAAATTTGATGTTGGCCTTCTCACGGGTGATATAAGCTTGAGACCTGAGGCATCTTGTCTTATAATGACGACTGAGATATTAAGGTCAATGCTTTACAGAGGGGCTGATATGATTCGTGATATAGAATGGGTAAAAATGTTATTAAATACTTTTGTTCTGCTCGTTTGATTTCTACAATCTTTCCAGTACTTGAGATTATTTGGTTGGTTACATTTTTGTGTGAGTATAGGTTATATTTGATGAAGTGCATTATGTCAATGATGTTGAAAGAGGTGTTGTTTGGGAAGAAGTTATCATTATGCTCCCAAGACATATCAACTTTGTCCTCCTTTCAGCTACGGTAGGTCCTGATATTTTAATCACTTTATTTTGTGCTTTAGGTTCGGCACTCTTAATGATGGTGTGAGAACTGAGGACACAATAGAAAGATGTGTGAGAATGCATGAGGCAAATATATAATGCCTACATTTGTTCTATACACACTTTACTGTGTATAACTTCACATTTGATCAACGTGGGATATTGATATGTACAGTAGTACACCTTCTAACTAATTACACTTATTCAATCTAACATTCTCCCTGCAGTCGGTGCATACTTGTCGAATGTGTCGAGCTTTCTAATGTAACTAATTCGAGGATGAGCTTGGTAAATATTTTTGTATGATCATTTGACTTTAGAATCTTGTGATGATGTCTCTTGAGAGTATCTTTTCTTTGACCAAGTGCTAGTCAGTTTGTATGTACTTGATCATCTCTTGAAACTCCGGATTTGATGCAATATGAAGTGCAGCTTGATCATCACAAGCAAGTTCCATCTGAGTGGTTTCCTTGAACTTTTTCTTCGGTAGTTGTTTGATCTGTATGAGTTCACAAGTTGCTTCTGCGATGGCTTGATATTCAGCTTTGGCACTGGGTCTTGTAGTTGTAACCACACTTTGTTTTTTGCTTTTCCTGGTACTAAATTGTCCCCAACTAGAACACAATATCCAACAGTAAACCGTCTATTAGATGAGAACTCTGCCCAATCGGCATCAATATATGAGAAATAGAGACACGGGAGAAAGATTTATGCGAATGTGTGAGACAAATGTCTTACGCCTGCATCTTTTTATATGCGCACTTTACAAATTATAATTATACATTCAGTCAATGTGGAGCACTTATACGTACGGTACTGCCCGTTCGAACGTTTTACACTCAGCTTATCTAAGAGAAGGTAGCATTTGGCTTTTGCTTGATCTGATCTTGATTACTAATTTGTCTAAAAAGCATAATGTTTTCAGAGGGTCAACAGATAACAGTAAACCAGTTCATGTGGATGCATCTCTGGTTATACTTTATGTAAATAACTATTCTAGGGTGTTATGGATTGAGGCCGCCCATATTTACTATGTGAAAAACTTTTTTGGTCATCAAAGTCATGCGATTGTTGCATTTTAAAAGAGTTGATTAGCCATCATTTCTGTGGCATGGAACATCTTTCTTTTGACACTCATTATTTGATAAGTTTTGCATACACTGGATAGTTGGTACATAATTAGGTTTGGTTGTTGGTCAGAACGCAGTTGCTTGATACAATGTACTGCTGAGGAAACATAGGAAACCAGGATGGAACTTTTGAAATTTCTCAAGTCTGGAAATAGTATGCTGATTTCTTCTTTCACCAAATCTTGTCCACAAATGTTAAAGCCTTTTGGTGCCGCCAAGAAGAAGAAAAAAATAAAACATCTTCAAATTTGTAGTGAACATGAAATTATCTGTGGCTTGTAAACAATATGTATGTTGGCCACAAATTTAAGGTTTCTCTAGTTGAGACCTCTCTCCTCTTAGAAAGGGACCAAAATAGAAATAAAAGTAGTGAGCTAAAGGTCAGATGGCACTATGGCAGATATTATTCCAAAAACTCTATTTTGATGCGTCATTGATGGAAAGATTTTTGCTGCATTTGATATGTCGTTTAATTCATGTCTGACCCTCTTTTCATCTTGAGGTGGCTTTCAGTAAACCCCCTCTCAAATCAATTTAAGTAAAAAGGGGGATGACATGCTGTCTAGACTACAGTTTTAAAATTTGGACCATTTCAACTAACAGCTTGTTTGGATGGTTGTTATGTATCGTTTCATAATGTGTCGTATAGTATTGTATTGTATTGTATTGTATTGTACTGCATCGTTTTGATGTATACAATATTTGGATATATTATATTGTTTGTCGTTGTTTCATGATGTCAGGCACCGACAATACGAAGAATAAACTTGCAATACTATAAAAAAAAAATAAGATACGAGACAGAATTATTACATAAATAGGTAGGGTAAAGGATAAAATAGAATTATTTAATAATAAGGAGGGCAAAATGAGAAAAAAAATAAGGTAACGATGCGACCACAAATCGGTCGTTCCATAAAATAGCACTTTTCATCGTTACGTAAGGACGGATTTAACGATGCGATACAATAAAATTTAAGTAACAATCAAAACAAATATTGTGTTTAAAGTAACAATACGATACAATACAATATGTAACAACCATCCAAACAAGCTGTAAAAAGACAACTATATCAAAGATATCTTACTTTCCGTAGGAGTGGGAACCCACTCCTTCCTTTTTAAAAAGGGCTTCACAAACCTATTGCATGGTTGTAGTAGGTTGGCATTGTGCCTATCTTTTGTTTACACAAAAAGCTTTCAGTTACCTCATTTGGATATGGTTTTTCAGTAATCTAATGGAAACTTAAGAAAACTAGACAAAAAAAAAAAAAAGCAAATGAAAAAGAGAAATGAGAAAATGAAACAGAATGAATCATATTAGGATTTTTAGAATACAACTTGAAATCAATGGAAACTGGATTTCTTGGATTGGCAATGGGTCGGGACTAGCAAATTGTCGTTCACCTGGTCCATAGGATTGTCGCCTGTAGGAAATTAAGCTGGTAATGGTAGATGTATGGAGACGGGGTTTCTCTGACTTGTCAGCGTGGAAATTGCTGGCAGTGAAGAGGTTAATTGCTACCATGAAAGGTCCCGACCTTTTATGACATAGCATGAGCGTTTGGAGGAAACCAAAAGTGGAAAAAATGCTAACCTACTGCAGTTGCCATGTAATAGGTTAGTAAAACCTGTCAAAAGGAGCTCTCAAGTTGGGATGACATAAATATGTGCATCAGTGGGAAGAGACGTTAGCCCCAGTATTGGTCTCTAATTATGAACTAGAAAAGCAAATGCTTGAGCTTGCGCTAGGAGGGCATGTAAGAGATCTTTCATTTTTCCATTGCAGGTACCAAACACAATTGAATTTGCCGACTGGATTGGTCGAACAAAACAAAAGCAAATTCGTGTGACTGGGTTAGTCGTGCTTTCTTTAAATTATAATTCAAAACTATGAAGTTATATGACTTTGTTTCTTGAAATTCCCTTTTCTATCAGGACGACCAAAAGACCGGTCCCATTGGAGCATTGTCTCTTCTATTCTGGGGAGCTTTACAAAGTATGTGAGAATGAAGAGTTTCTGCCTCAGGGATTTAAAGCAGCCAAAGATGTACATAAGAAGAAAACCACTAGTTCTGTCTCTGGTGGCACCAGCTTGCATCCTGGGTCTTCAACCGCTGCTGATAAGGCTCGAGGACAGAGGCGTGATAGCTCTTCTCAGGGGAAGCAACACAAGCATTCTGGTCCCCAAAAATCAGGGAATTTTGGTACTGGTTGGGGAACCCAAAGCAATGGCTTTGGACAGAACAATATGGGCTTAAGGAGATCAGAGGCGTCTTTGTGGTTGACACTGATTAACAAACTCTTGAAGAAATCGCTGTTACCTGTATGTAAAAAATTATATTTTTTTAAACATGCATGGTTCCTTGTATATCTTCCTCCCACAGCCTGTTCATGGTATAGTTAGCATTACTATTAGCATGTCCTGAAGAAAGTAGCACGTAGCAGTGTTTTGCTGTTGGTATTTAGTCTCTTGATATCTCGTCCTCTGTTTTATTTTTTTTCCTTTTCTTTAAAACAGTTTAACAGAACCATTTTCCTTTTACAGGTTGACAATAGACTTATCATGTATTTAAAGCCTAATATTTGTCATGAAATTGTGATTTCAGGTGGTTATATTTTGTTTTTCGAAGAATCGATGTGACAAATCAGCTGATAACATCCCTGGTACTGATCTCACAAGTAGCTTTGAGAAAAGTGAAATTAGGATATTCTGTGATAAGGCATTTTCACGGCTTAAGGGATCTGACAGAAACTTACCGCAGGTGTCCTACCTAATTTTCTGCATTTGTTAATTTGGTTGACCTTGCGGTTCTTGGTCCCTGCTAAAATCTAGAACAGTGCCTTATTGATGGTCATGTAATCTACAGATTGTCAGAATTCAGAGCCTTCTCCGTAGAGGTATTGCTGTGCATCATGCAGGGTTCCTCCCAATTGTCAAGGAAGTTGTAGAAATGCTTTTTTGTCGAGGTTTGGTTAAGGTAATGTCACATGCCCGGTTCTTTTTGAATAGGGCATCTAAGGTTTTGAAACTTATGCACCAAACGGGTACATTGTTCCACAAAGATGCCCAGCTCGTTAGGACCTCTCCGTATTTTGTTACTTATTTCATTTCAAATATTATTCTGCATTAAGCATCGCCTATAATTATACTTGAGCACTTGTCATATGTATAAACATGCTTATATACTTCATTACATTATGGATACATACATACAGAATTTACATTAGAACTTAATCAAATGAATAAAATTAATATCAGATCTTTATAACATACAGCAATTAACATTTGGTCATATTAGAATATACTAGTACTGATAGCATGTACTAGTAGGATATTATACTGAAATAACTTTTTAAGATCCTGGGGAAAATCATCTAATAATTTTGGATCCAATTAAGATATTTTGAAGGACCCCATGATTCTTGGTTTCGGAAGTATGGCGTAGGATCTAGTGATCTAATGTTGTGTTCTTTTTCAAGTAAAAAATAAACTAAATAAGTAAAGGGAAAAAGTTATAATGAAATGATTTATCAGTCAAATGGTGAAATTCTGGAATGAAGTTGGGCTTTGGACTTTTCATTTTCAAGTTATCTATTTTGACCGCACCCAAGGGTGTAGCCTAGTGGTCAATGAAGTGGGTTAAGAACTATGAGGTCTCAGGGTCAAATCTCAGCGGAGGAAAAAATACAAGGTGATTTCTTCCCATCTGCCCAAGCCTTGGTGGACATAGTTACCTGGTGTCTGTTGTTGGTGGAAGGTAGTAGTATCCGTGGAATTAGTCGAGGTGCGTGTAAGCTGGCATGGACACTACGGTTATCAAAAACTAAGTTATCTACTTCGACCACTATTGCTGAAGTTTCTTTAACCTCATTTAGAGAATTTGTGACTCATTTGTAATCAACATTCTGTCTTTTGGTGAGTTTTTCTTGCGAAGGACTAATTTGTTCATTTGATTCTTTGGTTCTTAGGTTCTGTTCTCAACAGAGACATTTGCAATGGGAGTTAATGCTCCAGCTAGGACGGTAAGTTCATCGTTTGCAGCGTTCATGTTACTCTGAGTGTAGTTTTTCTCGTAAAACATTAAAAAAATTTCACCTATATGATAACCGATAAGATCCTTGTTATACCCTGTCTTGAGTAACTGAGGATAGAGATTCTGTTTCCATTTAATGTTGTAGAAGGATTTTGCTGATTTATTTATTGCTAAGCGTTGAAGGCTTTAATGAGAACTTTAAAAACTGATGCAGCATCTTTAAGCATCAGCATCGAAACACATTAAGAAACAGTGATTACTCTGGAAATATATGGAGAACCTAAAGAACATAAATGAGAGAGGCCAACTGAGCTAATATGGGGCAGATATGCCTGGGAAATAATAGTATTTTAGCGCCATTCAGGGGCTGACAGAATGCAACAGTGAGGAATGAGCTGAGAGTTAAAGAACTAAGAAAGCGAAGAAAATGGAGGAAAGCAGAGAAGAAAGGTAGAAGAATCACATAAATTTCTGTGTTGTTTTTCATTCAAGTATGCCAAAAGCACATAGTATACACATTTTTTACGAAGAAAAGACCAGAAGGAGATCAGATGTTATGGACAATCTTAGGGGTTATAGTCTAAGATTTGGTGGGTATTTTCCAAGATTGCTTGCCATGGAATGACTGTCCTTTAATTCACAATAAATGACTCATCTTGAAGGGGTGATTTTCTTCTGTCTTGTTGTTCAATTTGACTATCAATTTGAGTTAGGCCCAAGGTCCAATTGTATCAAAACCAAACCCATCTATATCCTTAGTCTATCTATCCTAATTGGGCCCCCATATTATGTTGTCCACACTCCAAATGTCCAGTCTTGGGCGTGCAGGAGGATAGGGGTGCTAAGTCTCCCACACTTGTTGAGGAAATGAGTTATTGTCTCTTTATATGGTCTTGGACAATTCTCACCTCATGAGTTAGCTTTTGTGGTTGCTTTCTGAAATAAAAGAGTTAGCTTTTGGGGTGGAGTTAAATACAAGGTCCATTTCACTTCACATGGTATCATGCCAGATCCATCACTATGTATGGCTTTGCCAATGTTGGCCCCATATTATATTGTCCACGCACCAGATGTCCAACCCTAGCTGTGCTCGGGGAGGGAGCGTTAAGTGTCTCACGTTGGTTGAGGAAATTGTGTGGTCTCCTTATATGGTCTTTAGCAACCCTTACTCTATGAGCTAGCTTTTGGGGTTGAGTTAGGCCCAAGGCCGATTTTCTTTACGCTTCTGCCTCTCAATTAGTGATACATCAATCTACTATACAACTTCAAGGGTGGATCTGTCACGATGACGATTCTTGCCGTAAAATTTGGATTTCTGTTGTGCTCCACAAACCTCTTGGATTACTATTTTTATCAAATACAATATTAGTTAGTTCTGACCCTATTCACTTGCTCCCTTTATCAAATTAAGTTGTCTCATCTCCATAGGTGGTAAATGATTGGATTGTGATGTTAGTTGTTAGTACTGAATATTTACTTAGTAATTGGGTTTAAAGTAAGATTCACAACTTTAAATTGATCTTTTTAAAGAATAAGATGAGCCCAACTTACCTTTTATAGATTCACAACTTTGTTAGTTGTTAGTACTGATTTTTTTTTTTTAAAGAATAAGATGAGCCCAACTTACCTTTTATATCGTACTAATATATTAGAAAATGATAGTATGAGGAGAAAAGGTCAAGAACACTTTGAGCTGTTTACTTCTTCTGGTGGGATCAATTGATCCCACTGAAGTAACTAGAGGTAATAGGTTTCCTGATTACTGTATCTGATAGTTTATTGAAGAAAATCATTCTTGATGAGATCCTGAATTTTCTGTATCAAACATGATAATGTTTTTAATTCTTTATATAGCTTTTAACAGGTTTGCTTTCTGTATTTTTGTCACTCTTGCCTTTTAATTTCTTACCTGCATATTTTCCTTGATTTCCAAACTTCCTATGTCCTCTAATCCTTGATCACTTGTCCGTATTAATGCAGAGTACCATTTTAGATTGCAGAATTTCTTTGGTTTTCCTATCGATATTTGCAGTTACTTATGTTAGGATCTGTTAAGCATCTCTCTATATAAACAGTCTATTGCTGAAAAGTTTTAATTGGCATTAATTTTGGCAGGTTGTTTTTGATTCTTTAAGAAAGTTTGATGGTAAGGAATTTAGGCAGCTACTTCCTGGAGAGTACACTCAGATGGCTGGACGTGCTGGAAGGAGAGGACTTGATAAAACTGGCACAGTTGTGGTGATGTGCCGTGATGAGATCCCTTACGAGAATGATTTGAAGCATGTAATAGTTGGTACTGCAACTAGGCTTGAATCTCAGTTTCGACTGACCTACATCATGATTTTGCATCTACTTCGGGTTGAAGAACTGAAGGTATGTAGTTTTGACTAATGAAAGAAGAGAAAACAGCTGTTCTTAAATAGTCCACACAGCATCTACTTCAATATTCTGTTTCTGACAGTTCATTTTCCTTGCAATTTAGTTTTTTATGATTATGGAACTGGTCTGTTCTTGTATTACATCATTGCTGTTCTCATGTATTGGTCTCATGGAGCTTGTATATAGTAGCGAGTTGGACTATTTGCAAGTCTCTTTACTTCACCTGTAAAACATTGTTTAAGTTCGATACTCTAGCAGATAAGTTCATGATTTATGAATACAATAAGTCTAAATGCCTCAAGAATCTTTAGGAAATTAGGAAAGAAGAGAAAAATAGCTGATCTTATATAGTCCACACAGCATCTACTTCGATATTCTGTTTCTGACAGTTCATTTTTCTTGCAATTTAGTTTTAAATGATTATGGAACTAGTCTGTTCTTGTATTACATCATTGCAGTTCTCATGTGTTGCTCTCATGGAGCTTGTATATAGTAGCGAGTTGGACTATTTGCAAGTCTCTTTACTTCACCTGTAAAACATTGTTTAAGTTCAATACTTTAGCAGATAAGCTCATGGTTTATGAATACAATAAGTCTAAATGTCTCAAGAATCTCTAAGAAATTCAATGTTTTCTTTTTCTTCTCTGTTTCCTTTTGTTTTAGATAAACAATAAGAAAAGATTAACAGAAAAAACATTTCACAGAGGGTAAAAGTATAACGTGTACATGACCTTTTCTTTTATCTTATTGCAAAAGACAGCTGATTTGTTCCAACAATATTATTGAGAAGCATAATGTCATTAGATCTCATAATAGTTTGAGAGTAATGATGCATGTTTGTGACATGATTTATGTTAATGATGTGTTCCATTACATGGATTGATTAATTCTTCACTCCCCACTTTTGCTCATCCCGCAGATTTCTCCTGCTGATGTACATTTTACAACTTTGCAGGTTGAGGACATGCTGAAAAGAAGTTTTGCTGAATTTCATGCTCAGAAGAAACTACCTGAGCAGCAACAACTCTTGATGCGAAAGCTTGCTCAGCCAACAAAATCCGTTGAGTAAGCACAGCTAAAACAATTATGGTATCTGCGCTTGCTGCCATAATTGTCTTGCCAGATTAATTTTTCGACATGCATTTATCGCACATTAAAATACCTATATGTGCTCTCTCTCTCTCAGAGATAAAGAGAGAGACATGTGCGTGCAAAACACTAGAGAAGCACAGACATAAATGTACTTTTTATCTTGAGAATCCTTCCTTTTTGGTAGTGCTCTTAATTGCTTAATTTTATAAAGCTACCCTGTCTGAAATGCTTGCTTCTATGAAAACCTATATCTTCTAAATGCTACCTTCCGGGAAGACTCTTACATCATTTGTGATATTTAAATGCGTAGTAAACTAAATACGATTTGTCTAATATAGATGCATAAAGGGTGAACCAGCAATTGAGGACTACTATGACATGTTCTTGGAGGCAGAAAAATATAGCCACCAAATAGCAGAGGCAGTAATGCAGTCGCCAGCTTCTCAGCAGTATCTTTCTCCTGGGAGAGCAGTGGTTGTAAAATCACAATCAGTAAGTTTTACTACATTCTTTTCACTAAATAGGCATTAGGCTGGTGAAATATGATTTTTAAGGCTCTTTGGTAATTTGATATTTTCTTTTGAACCAGTAGCCTCTTTTCATCTTCAAGATCAAGAAATTGAGAGCTATCGGGCATACAATAACAATAATAATTTAGCATCAATCCCAAATTAGTTGTCTCTATATTAATTATTCGCTCCATTTGCTCTCGCTTCTTTCTAATACTCAATAGTTTGTCGTTTGAGACACAATAGGATTGAGCTATCTGGTATGATCTGGAAATTTACACGGCAAAGGTTCTCTAGTTCCATGATCTAGTCCCCTGCAACAGAGAGTCACATCATAATTTTCAGTGTGCATAAACACATGAATGTCATCATTGATATTAGCAAGCAAAGATTCAGATTTAACCAAATATGGTATTAATAAACCAGCAAAGGAAGGTGTAGGTCAAAGCGTTAAATGCCTTTAAGGAATTTGCACTGGCAAAAAATGGTTGATAATGTGGATGCTGTAACTGGGCCTCCTTGCATAGAACCTTCTGCAGTTTGAGATCACTGTTTTGGAAACTGAAAGTGTTCCAATTCCTTTTGCAGTTTGTTCTGATCCATTTTTCATCTTAGAAGTATCATAATCCTGTCTACTTTTGCCCTTGCATGTGGTTACTTGGATATTGCATTTCTGACTTACAGTTCATATTTCCATTAAAGAGATTCATGTGACAACTACAAAAAGGTGCTAATGTTTTTCTCTCCCTTAACTACTTCCAGGGTCAAGATCACTTACTAGGCGTTGTGGTGAAGACACCTTCCTCTAACAACAGACAGTATATAGTTTTAGTTCTGACTCCTGAGTTGCCTTCAATTCTGCAAGCTTCGTCAGATATAAGTGACAGAAAAGACCAAAAAAATCCTGAATTTCAGGTATTAGTGCCTAAATCAAGACGGGGTTATGAGGATGAGTATTGCTCGTCAGTCTCCTCCCGGAAGGGATCTGGCATTATCAACATTAAATTGCCTCACCGCGGTAATGCTGCTGGGATGAATTATGAGGTTCGAGGAGTTGAAAACAAGGATTTCTTGTATATATGTGTTAAAAAAATTAAGATAGACCAAGTTCGGCTTCTTGAAGATGTTAGTGCTGGGGCCTACTCAAACACTATTCAACAGCTGCTGGGTCTGAAATCTGAAGGAAATAAGTATCCTCCAGCCTTAGATCCGATTAAAGGTATGTCAGGATTATTTGAATGGTCAGATGTACTGATGTACTGATAGTATATATAGTTTTAGATTGTTGTTTTATCCTAGCATGAATATTATTTGACAGGCAGCTAAACTTGTTGTGGCCTTTTCTTACCACCAATAATTCTATTGTCATATAAGCAGTGTATCCACTGATATCTAAGGACTAGCTAACACACAATTTTAGATAAGGATATTAATTTCAACAGTTTCCCGACATTAGATTTTCTTATATCACCATTGACTCCATAAATTGCATAATAGTTGCAGTTCTATAATAGTTGGTAACCGGGAAAAGAAATTTTTCCTATGAATGGCGTTTCCATCCACGACAGTGTTTTCACAGTAATACTATTAAATTTTACTTAACAAGTATACACCATATGAACTTGGGAAAGTTCTAGACTTGGATATATAGTGGGAATTACTACTATTAACGATGACTTTTTAGTTATGTGAGGTTCTCTAACGAAGATTCTATGTCAGATCTGAAGTTGAAAGACGTGAATCTTGTGGAATCATACTACAAATGGAATAATCTCTTGCAAAAAATGGCACAAAATAAGTGTCATGGTTGTATTAAATTGGAGGAGCACATGAAATTAGCTAGAGAATTGAAGCGGCACCATGAGGAAGTGAATCATTTGAAGTTTCAAATGTCAGATGAGGCACTTCAGCAGATGCCAGATTTTCAGGGTCGGGTATGGAACCCATCATCATAAGAATTTGGTTTTCCTTTTAGTGCCAATAAATTCTTGCAGAGGAAGGGATCGTAAACATCCTCTTTTACACTTATTCACAGATAGATGTGCTTAAAGAAATTGGCTGTATAGATGCTGACCTTGTAGTTCAAATCAAAGGTCGTGTTGCTTGCGAAATGAATTCCGGAGAGGAGTTGATATGCACCGAATGTTTATTTGAGAATCAACTAGATGACCTGGAACCAGAAGAGGCAGTGGCTATCATGTCTTCCTTTGTGTTTCAGCAGAAGGAGACTTCTGAATCCTTTCTCACGCCAAAGCTTTCTCTGGCTAAAAAGAGGTTATTTTTCTTTTGAAAATGTTTAGTTTGATATTCTCATCTTTGCTTGTTGATATTCTCATCATTGGCGATATATGTATTGAATTGATATTGATAGTTTTGGTCTTTTGATAAGATTCTTTTTTGTGAAGAGTTTTTAGATAAGATTCTTTGCTTGTGGTGTATGAATAATTGAGCGATCAAACTTGTAAATCAGGGCCATGTGGTTTTTTCTTAATGTTTCTTTAATGATTGATCTTAACAGACAGTCTAGGATTTTTCCTTATCATACATTAGGTTTAATGGTAGAAAGCTCGTCAAAGTTAATTGATGAGATAATTGTCAGATGTGAGAAGGCACGGGAGAAAATATGTTATTGATATTGGATGATAAATACAATACAAGAG